TGGAGTTGAAACCAACTGATATAGCAGGTGAGAGCTCGGTTGTCTACTAACTCTGTTGAAATCTAGGCAACACTTCGGTAGTAAAATATGGCAAAGTAATAAAAATTTACTCAAGTATAACTATAGACATTGTTATGATTACAAGCTTTAAAGGTGACAATTCATTGAATCTGACAGTTATCATTACATCCTTTCAAATTCGTCGATTAACTTCTAGTTGCGTCTTTTCAAATGGTTTCTTTTTGCAATCCGTATTTATTACCACATGTTCCTCAATGAAAGCTATCATATGGCGTACTAAATCCTTTCTAGGCTTATAAAGTGGGCCCACCTAGGCCCAATCCAAACCATTTCCATTACATTTTAGATATACATGTTATACAGGTGTCTTACCTCCACTTTTTACTTCAACTATAGCCACATATAACATGACTACATGTCATGCATTTTTACTTTGGATATGGCCATAATAACATGACTATATGTCATGCATTTTTGCTTCGACTACGGCCATCATAACATAACTTTGTGTCATGCATATTTACTTTGACTACGACCATAATACATGACCACGTTTCATGCATTTTTACTTCGGCTACGGCCATAATAACATGACTACATGTCATGCATTTTTATTTTGGCTATGACCATAATAACATGACTACATGTCATGTACTTTTACATGTCATTCATTTTTATATTGATCGAGCCGTATATACACTTTGCCATTCCATTTAACCACTTAGATCAATCATTCACAAGTGAATGACTTGGGAGGGGGGAATAGTGTAAGGATAGGACAAGGATAAGTCCGAGATCACCGATCTTGGACATATTGTGCATATTGCAGAATTCAATCCTTCGCTTGTTGATCCCGGTTACTTGATGGCCAGGGTGAAGTCTAAACTCAGTTCTTCCCAATTGTATGATAATTATTGTGAGCATGCCCTCACCCAATCCACTATTCCCAAGTTCATTGTTCCACTAGACACGTCAGGATCCGATTATCTCGTTAAGCAAGTCATGTGGACACCTCATTAAAGTCTATAAATACCCCCATGGGTTACCTCAAAAAGGTAATTGAAATAGACCTAAAGTTTCTTTTATAGTGTTTCTTAAGGTAAACCAAATTATTGCTGACTTAGGTATCGGAATGTCTACCCCGAGGACCAACCTAGGGGCTTTGCAGGTTAAACCAAAGAGAAGGCTTGGATTGAACAAGGCTCACTAGTTCGTTGCAATTACAACAGCTCTATGAAGGAAGGACTCGATATGTGGCATTTCTCCAAGGTGGACAACATGCAATGATGCCAACGTGGGGAGAGCACTCAAGGCAAGGATGAGGTTTGTTGCTTTGCTTGTACTTTGGGGTTAGTTTTTGTTAAAATTTGGTAAAGTCTTGGAATGATTTTTTTTTATTTTTTTTTTATTTTTGGCTAATTCGCATTGGTTCATTGTGTAATGATCACAGCAAAAGGGGAAATGTACTACATTTGAATGGCATGATGAACTTATTGTTGGTAAAGCACATGATGTAGTTTTGCATTTAAGAGTTAAAAATCATAGTTTTGAAATGGGGATTGGAGTAACTTAGGTGGAGAATATATTGGAGAGTACAATGAAAGGCTGAGTGCTCATCATTCAATGGAAATGGAATCAGGTTACGAGATTATTAAATTGCAAAACAAATGTCAAAACTGTGGTAACTATGGTATTTTTTTGCTCTTGTTTGGTAGATATGAATTGGCACTACATTTTTAGAAGATGGGATTGTCCCTCTCTCTGTGGTTTTGCAAGTGACAATGAAATGTCATCCATATTTTGTAATAAGCAAATTTGGTTGGGCATCAATCATAACGACAACAATCTTGTACAATGTAAAATGTCAATGAATGGCACAAGTTTAATATGGAAATGTGCATTCCATTCCAATATATATATATTTTTTTTTTTTGGGGGTACTATTCCATTCTAGTTAGAGATAGCAAAAATTTACTTGATCTGTTAGCCCAATTCTAACCCAACTCGTAAAAGCAAATTAGGTCTACATATTTCAACCCGCAACTCATAGATGACCTGTAATATTAACCCATATGGGTCATGGGTTGGGTTAGGGTTAATCGATGAGTTGATGGGTTGACCCGTTTACTTTATTTATTATTATTATTTTTAAAAATACTATACTTATTTTTCTTAATTAATTTTCCTATTAATAACTCTTTCTATTAATTCATACTCTTCAACCTCATTTCCATTACTCAAATGGTTTTTGAACTTACTTTGAGTGTTTACTCATAATTATTTCTACTTCTTTCTCTAGAAATTATGTTGGTTTGATCTAATTACCAAGTATCATGAATTAAATGATAATACAATTAAAAATATTAAAGATGTGAGCTAGGATCTAAACATAATAATTTAGTGAAAGATATTTTTGGAAGAGCAATTTCATCATTAAAAAAGGGATTTAAACTCCTTGATAATGTTTTAAGATGATTGTAAAATTTAAAACTTTATTTTCCAAGATATTTAAATATTTTAAGTTTAATATTGTTAATCTACTTATTGTTGTTTGTAACTTTATGATTTTTTCTTATTTTAAATATTTGTAATGGAGACTATAAAGTGCTTAGTGTTAATGAGTTACGATATTTTAATTAGATTATATATATAATTTTATTCGTATATAATAAAATTAATAAAAATAATTACAAAAAATGAAAATAAAATTAACCCACGACTTAACCTGTAATTCATTAAGGTCATGTTAAGATTGTATTTTTTCAACCCGTAACCTGTTTACAACTCAATCTATATAACTTATCACCCGAGTTGACTCAACTCGACCCTGACTCAACCCACCCGTTTGCGAAATCTAATTCTAGTATATAGTTAACCATGGTCAAATTAAAGGCAGTATAAAAAACATGGTCAAGTGATTTACACTTGAAACATTGTCAACAAAGACAAAAAAAATGCCATAAATCATCCTAACAAACCTAATTAGTATTAACACAGTCAAGATCCCAAAAAATCATAACAAATCATCACTAAAGAGTGGCACGGCAAAAATATTTCTTTCAGATGGGTTGCCTAGGATGTTTCCCTTACTAGAGTTACGTCTGACTTCAGTAAATAATCCACTTCCATTTTAGATTCTTTGCACATTTCGCTCTCTAATCCTGACTTCAATAGGCAACCTAGGCTGTGATATTATAAAAATAAAAGACAATCAATTCCAAGTTTATAACATATACTTGTTTTCCATAAATCAGGAAACCAATTTAACACTCACCTTTCATGTCATGTCATTCACCAATTTCTTCATTGATTTTCAACCCTATAGCCCCTCCTTTTTTCTCACTTCTGCCTGGTTAGTGTGTTTTTTTTTTTTTTTTTTTTTTTTTT